AAGAGCGGAGAAGGAGATTGAGGAGGTATCCACAGTCGTCGAGGCCGAGCCGGAGGTAGCGGCCATGGATGAGCTTGAGATCGCTGAAGGGGAGCGATTCTTTAAAAAGAAGGTTTTTAAGGTCTAATGCTGCGGCGGACAGGAGACGACCAGAAGGAACGGAAGTTGTTGCAATGGCGGTGGCCACAACGGCCATTTCCCGCTAAGATATTCGCGCGGCTGCTTTTCTAGGGAGGCAAATCGTCTCATAGCGTCAAGAGCGCGGTCACATGTTCGCTTCAAATTTTTCTGTTCTTAATAACTTTCATATTGATAGGCAGCATTTACAATTTAAACATTTAAAGGTTTGATATTTACATTTAATACACATTGATATTAAATATATAAGAATTGTTTGTTTTGCACGTAAATTTCACTTTTTTTTATGAATAGAAGGTGTGTTTCACTTCAGAAAAGTAAGCATTGGAGATATTTTTTATGTGATTTCAAATATTTAATTGTTATGTGCATAGTTGTGAATGTTTAAGCGTCAGATATGTACATATAGAAGAATTGTGTGTTATGTATTTAAATTTTCTTTTTTTCAATGAATATGTTGTATCCAAATATTTGTACAATATCTTAAATTAGACTAATCAACAATACGACCATATTATCATACAATTTTTGTCCTCTTTGACAACTCTCTAAGTCAAAAGGCTTGGTTGAATTTTTTCTTCAAAAAGAGGTTGACTAATTATTCAAGAAATTGAGTTAAATAATTTTATCAAGTTAATGTGATTTGAGTGAGTCACCATAAATTATATGAAGTAGTTAATAATTAAAAGTTTACGGTAATGATTCAAATCAAAGATGGATATACAATAGTAGAAGCAATGGTAGAAAAAAAAAAGAAAAAATAGAAAAACACTTATACTTCCTAAAAGCTTGGTCAAAAGCTTCAAAAATCAAATGTGGAGACGCCTGCACTATGATTTATGATCAATCAATTTATCTTAGGGAGACGAATCACATTACATCAAAAACTATCATACTCGAGTCCAAGTATGCCCAAATTATGCACTTAAAATATAATTGGAAGCTTTGAAATATATTTTGAGAAACAAAAAACTCTTAAAATCAGATAAGTTTATAGTCAAATCGAGCCTCTCGACAGGCCAAATCCAACAAGTCCAAGATGACTTAATTTTTAAATCAACAAGGCACTTAGGGTCTGTTTGGGGAAGCTGCAGCTTATCCAACTTATCCTGATAAGCTACTTATCCTGAGAATCTGGTGATAAACAGCTAATTCGGATAATCTGTCTGTTTGTTTGGTTTGTGCGTTTTGAGAACAGTTCATTCTGAATATATGACCAAACTGTCCCTATTCTAAATAAGCTGCAGTTGTTTGTTTTGTGTTTTTTGTAAACAGCTTATTTGAAAGTTTTTTACAAATTTACTAACACTCTTAACGTAATCATAAAGAGGAGAATGGGAAGATTGAAAAATATGTGTGAAAATACAAAATATTTATATCACTCAAATATATTCAGATCACATCAAAAATACAGAATTACATAAACTAATGTGAAATACACCATAATGCACTAGTATATATTGTAATGAGACCCAACAAAGAAGAAAAAAGAACATGTCAAAATCATAAGGAAAAAAATAATTATATTGACTTTAACATGTAGCAGCATATCACGTCTCATTGTGCCCGGCTCTGACACTCCAAAACCCTGAGAAAACCTGTCCGACTGGGATACAGTAGAAATGGAAGCAGTCGAACCGGATGCGGTGTTCTGAAATGTTGATATCAATGAACTCCGAGCCGGGGTGTCCATCTGGGATATCATAGAAACAAACTCTATGTCGGCCACCTGAAGAAGCTGCAAGCCTCCTGTCGTTGTGCCCACCGCGGACACCTGCAAAATTATCTGCCGTAGTTATGTAGCTGGTGTGACGTGAGTAGCAAGGACGGTAGACCGCACCGACACATCACTTTCTCAGACTTCCCTGAATATCTGGAACTCATCTTCCTGCAATTATTAAAAATATACTAGATCAGTGAAAAATTTGAGGAACTATAGAAAATATACTTACCGCAGTATGGAGACAGTGGTTGCCGACATCAAATTTATGTGGTCATCCAAACTACTCCATATTTAGCTCAATAAAATATAACTTCCTTTAAGCATTCTTTTAGCTTACAGGGATTTGTATGTTCAGCTTCCAAATATAACCTCCAAATCTAGCTGCAGCTCTATAAATGTAACGAATAAACAACCACATTCTTACACTTTAACAATCTGCATAAATTTTTTGGAGGACTTGTATGTTTGCAGCTTACAAGGAGTAGTAATCCAGATATGTAAAACCATTGTATCGAAATATAACTGCAGCAGCTGAAAATATTACCAATGAAGTAATAAATCGAGACAATGTAATCATAAAGCAGATAACAAAACCGAGATAAATATAATTGCAGGTGTTTGTGTCGACATTAAAAATAGATAATAAAAACAATGGTATTTATAATATATGTAACTTCATTCAAAACTTTAAGGACATACAAAATGCTCACAGGACATTGTAACCATAAAGTAGTGATTGCCCTTAAATACAAGGGCCATCTAAGCTGCCACATCTATATATAAATGTCCAGCTATTTAGAGCCCCTTAAGTTTATATATTCTGCAGAAGCATGGAAATGTACATACACAGCAGCTCTATACACAGCACCCAAATCTCAAACTGTAGCTCTATACACATTCTAAACACACTCATTAAGCATTTAAAAACTGCAGCTCTTTAAGCATTTAAAAACAGCTCTTTAATAAGCATTCCAAAACATATCATTAGTGTATAACTGCAGCTCATCATTCTAAATGCATAAATGTATACTCCATAAGCATTTAAAAGCAGCACAACGAAAAAGATATTGTAGAAAAGAAAAATTCTATAGTTGAGTTCAATTAGGAGTTGCATATAGCATCCGTGATACACTCTCTCAAGGTAGCCATCTCTGCTATACCTTCACCTTCTTGGATCTCAAATTCATGGGTTCCTATAGCTTCTTTTGGAATAAACTGGCCAATCTGGTATTCAAATGCTTCTGCAGGGATATTCATCTCGTCAGCGTCAGCCATATTGAAGTCTGTGTCTGATCTAGATGGATGTCATCTAATAAAATTGTGGAGCTCCATCATGGCCACCACAATATGAACTTATTTTGGAAAAGAGTACGTAGGCATATCGTGAAGGATGACCCGTTTTTTCTTTCAGACACCAAATATTCTTTCGATAACCCCGCGTAGGGATGAGTGACGTTTATTAAAAATTTCCTTTCTACCACGAGCAATGCCGCTTGATCTCTCAAAATCAGGAATGTGGTATTTGGTGTTAGGAAATGGCTTCAAATAATCTCTCTGTAAGGGATAACCGGCATTCACTAAATAATATTTGCCTGTCAAGGAAGCATTAATTTTCTTTAGTGAGCACTACAAATTAAAACTAATAGGTTCAACAAAAGTATGCTAACTTGGAGGTAGGTTGGGGAAGCATTGTCTGGCATTCCTTGTTGCATACGTAAAAAGGCGGTTGTCATGAGCACTACCTTCCCATCCAGCCATCACAAATGTAAAACACATGTTAAAGTCACAAATGGCCATAATATTTTGGGTTTGATAACCACAACGGCTGATGTAACCACTTTCTCATCATGCGGGAGTCGTGCATCCACGTGTGTTCCATCAATTGCACCTATGCAAATTTGTGAGGAAATGTTTTTGTTTTGAATTCATTGTGGAAGAACAATGGTTAGAAAAATGCTATCATAAATAAAGAAAACTCACCTTGAAATATGGCATGTAGCGTTCGTCACTTGCTATTTTTCAGGAGTACTAGAAAATGACGGATCTTCTGTAGACTAATGAGTGATTTCAATCCTTCAGAGAAGTATCGACTGACTGTCTCAAAAGAATGTTGGAATCTTTCCATAGACTAATCGATCAAAATGAATCTGATCGATTCATTTTGAGATAAAATGTATAAAGTAATTGCTAAAACCTCACTAGTGGTAGTTCTTGACGAACCTTCAAGCCCATGGTTGGTTCGAAGCTCATGCAAAAGATCCAGAAAAATCGGTAGGCTCATCCGGAAGATGTTGTTGAACCTTATTGGATTCTCAGCTAACATCTCGGCTACCCATTTATCCCTAATGAATGACAAGGTCATGTGTGGTGTTCGATGAATAGGTGAGCGATAGTATTCTAACAATAATATAGCAATCGCAGCCGCCATTCTTTTGCGGCGTTCTCGATATCGATTCATTCTGAAAAACCAAACAATCATTACATGAACAAATAAAAAAGTTGTAGGTTGAGAAGTAGTTCTAATATTTGTTAACTAATCAAACATCACATAAACATCATAATGCTAAAGCGAGTTCAACATATGAAGGTCTCTAAAATAATACAATAGCCGACATATCCAGCAAAGTTCACAAATACACCAATCAATTTTCGATAGAAAGACTTAAGTATTGCACGCGTAGCTTAGGTTGAAGCCTCTTGAAAATCTGTCTTTTTGTTGGGCATTCAAGCACCCTAACACATTTCAAGCACCCTAACACACAAGCACCCTAACACATTTTAGAAAGAAATCGTTATCAGCCATAACTTCAGGCATATCTTCTAAAAGGTTCATAAAAAGATCAACACTGGGATCATCTACTTCTTATTTAATTGGTTATGGAGCTGCAAATACTTCTAACAGTCGGTCTATTGAGCTCTGCACGAATACATCTTTGTTTTTATATTTTTTCTCCATCCTACGGCTCTTTGATTGGCCTGTGGACTCGAGGTCCCTCGGGTTTATGCTAGGACCTTGACCAGAACCCATAACTTGATCAGGTGTCAAGTCTAGTGATATGCCATTGAACCCCAGCTCACTTGGGTTGAAGGTATTATGCCCCGTAGCTACAATGCCCTTAAACATTACATCTAATTTATCTTCCAATTCCGGGTCAATTCCACACACCTTAAATTTTTTCGCATTTGGCACTGCCTGCAATAAGAAGTAAGGCATATTAATAAAAATTGCAATGGATAAACCGAATGAGGGGGGGAAGTATTACCTCTAGTTTCTCAGCCCACCATTCTTCTGAAGCATCTATAGTACATTTGATGGGATCCCAACCCAATCTTGT